GCCATGGAGGTTGAGTGCATTACTTATTGTTTCCTTTGAAACAATTGTACCTGATAATTCCAGGTCTTTCTGAAGCTCTCCACAAGTGGTCCTTAGCTCTTGGACAACTCTTCTGATAATTCTTTTCACTCCTCTGTCTGAAATCATGGAGAAGCACCTGGTCATGGCTGGTTTATGATGAAATGATGTTCTTTCCACTTCCTGGATTATGGCCCCAACAGTGCTCACTGGAACATTCAGAAGTTTAGAAGTCCTTCTGTAACTATTGCAATCAGTATGTTTTGCAATAGTAAGGTTGCGAAGGTCTTGAGAACGCTTTGCCCCATCATGAGATGTTTTTTGTGTGACAATGAGACACCTTTTTATTGCCATCAGCTGAGATTAAATCAGCTGATATTACTTTGCACTGACAATGTCCAGGATTGCTTTCTAATTACTAACAGATTTCAGCTGGTGTCTTGGCTTTCAAAGCCTTTTTGTAGCTCCCTTTCTTCATGCCTTCAATACTTTTTCCCTGTGTCATTCCATTTTATTACACATAACATAATTTCTGAATGTATTTGTTTTGGTTTGTTTGTATGTATGGGTTGTTACCGACATGTGGTGAAAATGTCATGTCAATAGCACCTTTAGAAATATATTTAACGAGAAAAATGGTAACATGTTAAATACTTATTTTACCCACTGTACATGTGAGACTTTTTCACAGCCTAGTCACATAGAGGCCCAAAATTCAAGGAGCACCTTCAGGTATTACAGGGGCATAAATTACACATCTAATTTTCTGACTACCTATCACATTTGTGAAGGCCCACTGGGGACACTGACAAATGTTGACAGTCCATAGGCACACCGACAGATGTTGATGGCCCAATGGGACACCAACAAATTTAGATGGTACAATGGGGCACTACTATGTGACAGATGTCGATGGACACTGATACACTGTGACAGATGTTGAAGATCCACAAGTGACACTGACAGATGTTGAAATGGGACACTATTTCAGATGTTGATGGGACACTGTGAGAGATGTATTGTGCACTGGTATACTGGTACAAGTGTTGATGTGCACTTGGATAAGGGACAGATGGTGCTTTGTGCACTGGTGTGGAACGGCTGCACTCTGTGTGATCTGTGTGTAGCTGCACTGTAAAATTATTTTTACTGATGATTAGCTACACACAGATAAACATAGGCTGCAGCGATCCCACTCTTCCTCTCCTCAGTGAGCTCAGGAAAGCCGATACAATGGCATGTGCCTCTGTTTACATTGTGTGGTGGCTGTGATTGGGCACATGATTGGGAGGGCCAATCAGAAAGCCCAAGTCCCAATCTGTGATGCTCTGTGCTCGAGAAATCCAGAGGCCACGTGGGAGCACAGGTTCTGACAGGATGTACGGCTACTGCCTGTCAGAACAGCGCCTGTCCCACCCAGCCATTTATATACAGTGGAGGGGTGGGAAGCGGTTAAACTGCATAAGGGGTTCTTTACTGTTAGGGTGGTAAGGACGTGGAACTTCCCTCCACAGTTGGTGGTGTCAACGAAGTGTTTGGATAAATTAAAAAAAAAACTTTTAGAGGTGTTTCCTATTGAACACAATGTACAAGGATATTGAAAATGGTAGTGACAAAAAACCGCATATGCGTGTTGAACTGGATGGACCAGTATCTTTATTCAATTATGTCTAGTGGACAGATGCTCTGCGTTTAGAGACACTAGGAGATCCCGAAGAGGGTGGTTTTGGAACCTTCTTCTGTGGAAGTAAAACCTTTCCACCTGTGACCTCCTCCTTAAATTGGTCAAATGCCTCATTAAACAGACATCTTCCTTGGAAATGCACCATTTACTGGCAGATTCAGCTGTCCAAGCGTTTACCCATAAGATCCGGGCAGGTGAATAGAAATTAGAGCCATTCTGGAAATTTGTCCCATGACCAGGCGTCTACATACAAAAGCAGAGCAGAAGGCAACTGCTGTATTTGCTGTGCAACAGGAGTCATGTTGGTTATTCATTGTCCTATTTCAATCACCTGCAGTTTGACATACGAAATTACAGCAAGAGTTGGTTCCAGGGCTGGGTATGCAAGACTGAAGAGAGCTTTCAGGAGTGTCTTAAACTTTCTATTTGCAGAATCTTTAAAGAAGGAAGATCTTAACAGTAAAATATTTGTTTAGGACCTAATTGTGCAGGATAAGGATAGGAATAGACCACTACTTTCAGAACTCTTTTTCCACTAAGTGGAGTTTGGTAAAGATTTTGAGGGGAGTAAAAATTCTTTCAGACATGACCCAGTAATTATGGACTGCACATTCTATCTCTTCATGAACAGGGAATGTTTTTCAGGGTTTTGTAGGTCTCTTTGAACCCAAATGCCAAGACAAATTTGGGTCAGCTTGCACAATGCCAAGGCTTTTGGTGACAGAGGCAGCTTTTCTTCATTATAGCGACAACCTGGGGCATACAAATCTTCCAAAGCTTCCTCTAATACCACTTCAGCATCCTCTTCATTTCCTCGTGTCCTCTAGGAGTGGCAAATTGGGATCCGACACCAGTTGAGAAACAGAAGTAAGAGAAGAGGCATGGCGTTTTGGGGCCTGCTTAGAGATGGCTGTATTAAAGATGTTAATCTAAGGAAATGTGACAGATGCAGAAAATTCTGGTTTAGTCAAGTGAGCATCTGGTTGTGTGGCTGAAACAGAGCTAAAATCAGATGAGCAGATCATCAGAGCCAGTTCTTGCTCTAGTGCAATTTCCTACAAAATAAAAGTTATCCGAGCAGCTAACGGGGTAAAACCCCCTCCCATTGCCTTTGTTGGGTTCTCAGGTGTGATCAGGGAGCCTGCCAAGGACACGTCCCACGGCATCCGGCTCCCGACACACAGTGGGATTTCGTCACTTCCTGTTCTGGTCCTGGTTTACTTGGCCATTAATCGCCAGGGAAACAGCAGATCAGAAATTAAATTAAAATAATGGGAAAAAAAAAACCAAAACAAAAGTGCCCCCCTTTTTCACACTCAAATGCGAACACACACGTAGGACCCATACGCATATGTAAAACGTTGATCGCACAACACATGTGAGGTATCGACGCAATTGTCAGAGTGACAGCCATAATTTTAGCACCAGACCTCCTGTGTAACTCTAACTGGTAACCTGTTAAGGCTTTTAAAGTGTTGCCTATGGAGATTTTTAGGTACTGTAATTTGGAGCAGTTTCAAGGACGGACACAATTCTAAATATGACATGTTTGGCATTGATTTACTCAGTGTAACATCATATTTTATATTCTACCACACAATTGGGTATTATATTGTGTCTGTGCATTAAAGTTCATTAAAGTGTATTTTTTTGAAAAACCATTGCGCAAATATTGTGTAACATAAAAATATTCAATACCCACCATTTTATTTTCTAGGGCCTCTGCTTAAAAAAAAAAAATACAGTGTATGGGGGTTCTAAGTCATTTTCTAGGAAAAAAAATTATGTTTTTTTTCCATGTAGGAGAGGTATGCCAGAATTAGCCCAGACTGGAAGTGGTTAAAACAATTTACTAAGCTGGACAGAACTACTTATTGAGGGAGTGTATTCCTTTTTTAGAAGAATCCTTTCCACATGTGGAGATTAAATTCCCTTTTCCTCCACCTGTAAAGTGCCCCTTGTCCTCTGTAATGACCTGAAAGTAAATAACTACAAGTTCACTCTATGGACCACCTATGTTTTTAAATATGGTAATCATTTCCTACCATTGACCTCCTCTTCTCCAGAGAGAATAAATTAAGTTAAGCTAATTATTCCTCATAGCTAAGCTCCTCCATGCCTCCTATCAGTTTGGTTGTCGTCCTCCACACTTTCTCCAGGTCTCTAATATCCTTTTTGTTAACTGGTGCTCAAAAGTGAACTGAGGTCATTCTAATGATTTATAGAGGGACAAAATTATCTCTCTCTCTCTCTATGCAGTCTATACCTCTTTTAATACAAGAAAGTATTTTGCAAACTTTAGAAACTTGGCCCAGCATGCTATTATTGGGTCTATGATCTATCAGAACACCCAGATGCTTCTTGACCATTGACTCCTACAGCCTGTTCTTCTCCTATAATATATGAAGCATGAATACTTTTATACCTCATTTGCAACAACAGTATGTGACCAATTTTGTGATGTGACCTGGTCATCCACCTGAGTCTGAGCTCTGAGTAGCTGAATTTTAGCCACTTGTTTACAAAGTGAGGTGAACACAATTCAAGCATAGTCTTTTTGACAGTAACAGTGAGAAATACACGGTGACCCTGTCACAGTGGGCGTACCCTCAAAGTGGTCTTCAGGGACTCGGTTCCATAGCGATGGTTGGTCCACAAAGGGCCAAGGTGAGCGCCCATGCAGGATTCAGTGCCCAAAGTAACATTTCAGACTGTCCCTAAACAGTGGGGTATGGTTATGGCTTCCAAGGCTTTATCACGGTTGTGTTAATCCATATCCACTGCTTCTATGCTGGCATGTGGACTCATGGAGTTGGGTAGGGTTAGGGAGAGGTGCTCAGGAGGCATGTTCTTTAATGCTTTGTAAGTGTCCAATCAATTGAAAGTACATGCCTAGAAAGCATGGTGTATGAATACAATGCCTGTGTCCTGTACTGTATGATTAAGATATTTCTGTTATTTGCCAGAAATACACTTAGGAATTGATTAACTAAAACTGAAGTGTGTAAAATTTGGTGCAGCTCTGCACAGAAATGAATCAGCCTCCAGGTTTTTGTCAAAACATAGCTGAGCAAGTTGAAGTTAGAAGCTTATTGGCTACCATGCACAGCTGCACCAGATTGTGCACTCTCCAGTTTTAGTAAATCAAACTCTCAGGTCTTAATCCTTGTTATGGGCTTCAAATATGGATACCAGGGTACAGAAATAACAATCAACTTTAATTTACAAATATATTGAACTACAATTTGTTTAGACATTTGGATACCACTATCCATGAAAATATTAAAATATTTTTTACCTTTCTCTACTTTTTGTTGTCCCTCATGCATGGCAGATGAAACCAATCTATGGAATGTGCTCAAGAATGGTGCAACTGATTTTAGCATTGCCTGGGGTAGAAATAAAAAAAAAATAGCATAAAAAAACATTTATAAAGAGAACCGATAATTTTCAAAATACCTTCTATCAAAACATGGTTTAATATGAGGCTTCTAAATCTTTTGTAATACTTAATTTTAAAAACGTGCCCCACTACGTTAACATTCTAACAAAAGTTTAAAAATGATCTGCAAAATATTGGCTTTAGAATGCAAGAAAATATACCTTGGAATGACACTGCAGTATTGAAAACAGCACTTCATGCACTGCCAGGAATATACTGTAGTATTCTTCAATCTTCAAGTGATCCAGAGGCACAGTGAGCAGTGTTCTGAATGAAAGAGTCACATGGTGAGGATTAATCAGAAACATCTCTCCACGCCTCAGTAACAAGGCCATAGTGTCTATTACAGGCACAACAATATCAGAGAGCAGTGAACGGTCCTTGCAAGCTTCATTGCCAAGAGTCTGCAACAAGAAAAAAAAACATTAATAGCAGGACAGTGACTATAATATGTAATTCATGAACTACAATCAAAGAGATTAATATGCTTATTGTAACTGCATATTCACACAAATTAACATTATTTAGGGCAGTAAGGCATGTTATGGTTTACACTACTACCTCTCAGCACTGGAATCCTGGGTTCAATTCCTAATAAGGCAATATATGCACAGAGTTTGTATATTCTGACTGTGAGTTTCCGTTAGGTCCACAATCCAACTCATACTTGTATATTTAAATACCTTCTCACCAGAGATCTAGGATAGTATGTCTGTACAATTGTTGTTTTGACATCACACGGTAAAAGCACCTTTAGGGACAGGAACTAACATAAAGGAATTAGAATTGCAGTATACAGTGTTCAGCAATGAGTACACCCATTTTGAAAAGTAAGATTTTAATCAATCTCAATGAACACGAGAACGATTTCCAAAATACTGACAAAACTGAGTTTTATAGAACATTTGTTTAGCCCATTTCCTGAAAGTAAGGTTAATAATATAACTTAGATTACAAAATCTTCAGTTTTACTCAAATTAGTTGATGCAAAAATGAATACACCTCACAACAAAACCTACTGCATCTAGTATTTTGTATGACCTCCATGATTTGTAGGGACAGCACCAAGTCTTCTAAGCATGGAATGAACAAGTTGGCAACATATTACAATATCTATCTTTTTCCATTCTTCAAGAAGGACCTCTTTTAGAGCCTGAATGTGGTCTCTTCAGAATTCCCCATAGGTGTTTGATTGGGTTCAGATAAGGAGACATACTTGAATCACTTTCACCCTGTTCTTCTTCAGAAATGCAACAGTGGTCTTAGGTGTGTGTTTTGGATCATTGTCATGTTGAAAAAGTGCATGACAACAAGGGCACGGAGTGATGGGAGCATCTTCTCTTTCAATATAGAGCAGTACATCTGTGAATTCATGATACTAACAATGAAATGCAGTTCCCCAACACCAGCAGCACTCATGCAGCCCCACAGAAGGACAAGGCCATCACTATGTTTCACTGTAAGCACCATGTATTTTTCTTTGTACTCCTCACCTTTGTGACACCATACAGTTTTGAAGCCATCAGTTCCAAAACCATTTGTCTTGGTCTCGTCAATTCAAAGTACAGAGTCCCAGTAGTCTTCTTAGCAAATTCTAGGTGGGCTTTTTTGTGCATGGGCTTTAGGAGAGGCATCCTTCATTGACGATACCCATGCATGCCATTCCTTTGCAGTGTACGCCATATGGTGTCATGGGAAATAATCACCCGTTGGGCTAACTGCAGTGAACTTGCATGGCGATTTTCCTCAACACTTCTCATCAGAAGACACTCCTGTCGAGGTGTTAACTTCTGTGGATGACCTGGACATCTCTGTGAGCTGGCTGTTGTTCCATCTTTGTTAAATTTGTTTCACTTTTGCTACAGTATTCTGACTGATAAGTAAAGCTTTGCTGATCTTCTTGTAGCCTTCAACTTTCTTGCGTAAATAAATTATTTTCTTTCTCAGGCCTTGTGACATTTCTCTTCCATGGGGGTGCCATTGCTGACAGCATGAAATGGGAAGGGGTTATCTTTGTTAAGTAATGCCCTTTTATAATCAACTGCCTGCTGAACACCTGTTTAACAATTTGACTCACCTGTAGCTGAATTCTTCTTAATTAGGATTTTGTTGTGTAAAATTTAGCTTGCTCTTAAGACTTTCATTGAGTGTATTCATTTTTGCAACATGGTCTTAAATGAATTTGTTAGGAAAAATACTTTTTTGTGTGTGAAAATTAACAGATCATGTTTGCAATCAATGGCCCGCGTTTGTGGGAGTATTTTGTAGTATAATGTCCCATAGAAAATGTTGATTCTGAAAGGAAAGGTTTTCTGACAAATCTGTTGGGGTGTACTCATTTATGCTGAGCACTGTATGTAAAAAGCTGTATGTTAGTGTTCTATAAATAATAAAAAAAATAAATTTTTTGCAACATTTCAGTGGTAATGTTTGTCCCTTTTTTCTTATCTCATTAAACAAAAATAATGGGTGAAAGTGGCCATTGCTACCATGTGCCATTCTAAATTTTAAGAGTTTTGGTGAAGGAGTTGTCTAAAATGATAAGATAGGAGATCATACATTATCATAATTTTAACTGTATTGTTCTTAAACCAATTGCTTAAAAGTCCAATTTATTCTACCAAAGGTCTTTTCAGCATCCGATGATAAAAGTTTTTGGGGTTTTTTTTTACATTTTGGATCAAAGATGTAAATTTAGAGTATCAATAGTATTGCGTTTTGCCTCTATTTACTGAATTAATCAAGATCATTTAGGTTAGGAAGAATGTCTTTGAAACTTGTAGTGATCATTTTTACAAATGGTAAAATGCCTATTATCAGATCCTATGGTCATCCTATACATGAAATTAATTGTTTTCAAGATACAAACAATAGACTTTGCAATATTCAATAGTGATGCTGTCCAGGCAAGGGGTTAATGTATCTTTTTTTGAAATGATAGATTTGACAGATCTTGCTATTAAAATGATACTTCATAATATCCCCTGGCTGGTTTTAAGTTAACTATATTTTCATCTGATATTAGATCATAAAAACTCAGAAATAATTCAAAAGACAGTCTTCTGTATATTTTCAGGCAAATGAACCAACTGCTCTATGTTATTTTGAATAGCATATTGTTTATCTAAAATAATAACTTGCATTTATTCCTGTATTTACCCTCTTTTTTTATAAAAGTTAAATGTATAGAAAGTGAAAATATTTGTCTAAGTATTTCCTTAGGTTTAATGATTATCTTTCCAAAGAAATAAACGTTTTGTCAATATATGATACAACCCAGCCACATCCCATCTCCTCCACTTAACCTCCTCCTTTGCACTTGCACAGTGCATACAATCCACCACCCACACCGACGGTAATATCCTTGATCTCGTCTTCTCCAACCGCTGCACTCCCTACAACCTCACTAACACCCCCTTCCCGGAACATGGCGGCACAGGAGAGCAGGGAATAGACACTCTCAGATAGCCTTCCCCACCTACCCTCCCTAAAGTGTCCTGAGGTCTAATTAGCTGCCTGTGGTGATCCGGAGAAGGGGGAGAGCGTGGGGGTTTGCCGGGCAAGTCGAGGAGGAGCGGCGTCACCACGTGGGCTGCCGCGGTGGACTGATGGGGTGAGACTGAGAGAGAGAGAAAACGGCCGGCGTCCTAGAAGGCTGGGGAAGCGCTGCCCGACTGTCATTACAAAGCTGTCCCCAGGAGAATTTGTGCAGCACAAAGGAGAAGAGGAAAAAGGGACCCAAAGGAACCCCCTTGAAGAAGAGGATACGGTCGCAGGAGATAAAACAACTCAGGACTGCAATTCTGAAGCTGCTCCATAGAGGAGGGTGAGTGAGAGTTGTTGATCTGCCTATGTGATAGCTGTTTAGACTGTGTTATAGGCTGATATTCAGCTTAAGAATTAAGCAGGGGGTTCCCAGAGAGGGTCTGAAGGATTGGAAGAAAGAAGTGACAGTTTAAATATATACCCCAGAGTCTTAAAAAGCCTTAAAAATCCTACATGTGACATGAAAGGGAAAAACAGCAAAGGAAGCATGCCCAAGAACTCCCAAACCCAAACTGTAACGATAAAAAAATACACGTCGCAGGGGAAATTGACTCCAGTAAGATCCCAGGAAATAAGTGAAAGGAGTGACCTGGAAATAAGCTTAGATAATAGCTCAAGAACCTTCCTGGGAGCAGTTAACAATAGCCAACAAACAATGGAAGGTATGGAGACGGGAGAAATTGAAAAAGATTTGCAAATACCGAATAAAAAGGAAATGGCGGAGATGTTTAAAAACCTGGAAAAAATCAATAAAGCAAGAAATGGGGATAATTCGGAAAGAAATGGGACAGCTGTTAACTAGAGTGGAAGAAACGGAGGAAACAGTTAAATATCACACCCAAAATTATCCCAAAACTAGAGAAATTGATAATAGATACCCGGAAGGAACAAAAAGACTGCTTTATATGATGGAGGATCAAGAAAATAGGGAAAGGAGAAATAATATTAGAATAAGAGGAGTTCCAGAGCTGTTACAGGGGGAAGATTTAAAGGAGACCACATGCAAAATCTTGAACTCCATAATGGATAGAACTGTTGCGGAGACGTTTAAATTGGATGGAGTTTATAGGATAGGAAAGATCCAACAAGAAAAAGGCCCAGAAAAATCAAGAGATATAATCGTTCAATTCCATAACTATGGAGATAAAGATGAGATATGGAAGAAGATCAAAGGAAGATCAAATATTAAATACGGAGGGAAAAATATTCAAATCTTTGCAGATATAGCAGCCGGGACACTGAGAAGAAAGAGGTCACTGAAACCATTACTGGAACTGTTGAAAAAACATAATGTGCAATATAGATGCATGTTTAATCGGTTGGAGAGATGGAGTCACAGCATTTTTGAGATCCCCTGAGGATATGAAAAACTTCTGTAATAAATTTGAACTGCAGAGAATAGAGATCCCGGGATGGGAAGAGGAGGAGGGAGAGTCATATATGTTGGGAAAAAGAGGAATGGCAGCTAGTTAGAAGAGAAAATAGAGAGCAAATAGATAGAGGGACACCAGGGAGGAGGGGGAGAAGGTGAGCGGTACATGGACGGAGCTGAGCCCCCAGGGTTGGAATCAAAAGTGGGACCTTTTCCACAAATGATTCATAGGCAAACAAAAAGCCTAATAGGGGGGAGGGGCATCTATGGGGGGGTGGGACCCTCAAAAGATGAGTAGGCAAATGGAAAGCCTAAATAAGGGAGGGGTGGGAGAGGGAGGGAGGGGAGGTGGAGGGAGGGAGGGGGGGGTGGATGGGAGGGAGAGAATTGGGGAGGAAGCGAGGAAAGGGAGTTTTATAATTGACATCTTGTATGAGAGAAGAGGTATAAGGAAGGGGGAAGAAGATAGGAAATGGTAAAATAGGA